GGCTAGATAATTGAAGATAATAAGAAGGGAGCTTGTTAGCATTTATTAGGACTGCGTGTCTGTAACCTTGAAGGAGTTGATGTCATCTCGGAAATTTGAACCTGCTTCAACACTGAGCTATTCGAGCTCATGACTAACTTCCTGTAGGATTATATGTGTTATTTGTTAGTGGTGGTTCACAGATGGCCAGTGAATATATTGTCGTGTAGTATGCCCCATTCACAACTCAGGTTTACAGAATAACGTTTTATAGAGCCACATGCCAACGGTAACCAGTTGTGCAGGATGACAAACCCCGTATTACTGTATTGTATTCCACTGTTAAATCAGTCATGCACAAGATTCTGTGAACTGTGAAAACTTCAAGTGTTTGCAACATTCCCTAGCCGAATTGGCGATTGTGCTCAAAATATCTTCTGTTCATTGGTTTGTTGGTTCATTGATAAAATACTGGCCAACCCCACTCGACAGTGTAAAGGTTTTATTTCCGGTCTAATCAGGTCTTCACCTCACCTGATTTACTGACCGTTATTAAGCCTAGGTGGTTTGGTGGAAAGTGTATAACTTTATTTGAATTTCTCGAGGTGATGCAACACCGGTGGCATAGCGGTTAGAACGCTCGCCGACCATGCACATGGTCCGGGGTTCGATCCCCGGCCGACTTACTCCTTTACCTCGCTAAGTCAGAAATAATGCTGATAAAGAGGAAAGGTTAGGTATAAGGCTACCAACCCCATCCTGTAAAATAAACTGTGCTACAGAAACTTCAAGCTACTAGCTTGAAGCCCTATGTTCCACTGGGGAACGTGAAGGAAAAAGATGCAACACCGGAAACAACCTCGGATATTAACGCTCTTTTTAATGTCTTTGTTGCTTGGCTGTTAGCAGACAATAGAAGTGTTTGTTCTTCATCGTAACGTATATAAATATGAGTTGACGATTTAGTAAAGACATATGAATATATTTCTTAACTTATGTTCTTCTGTTTCTAATTTCCTAAAACCGTAAACAACTCAGTAGTAGGCATCTCTATAAATTAGTAAAAAATAAACACACATACAACAGTTAGTTAGCTTATTCTATGAGCACAATCAAACTACTGATGTACACCCGGTGTTTTTTCATAGTTTGTCTGTTTCTGTGTTTATTCGTTTCTCTCACTGTCTGTCTGTATTTAAGTGTATCTGTGTGTGTGTGTGCCATATGTTTTACTGACTTTTAGGTAGAAAGCATTCTGATTCATTGCTTGTTAACACACACACCATTGTGTATAGCTTGTCTCCATAGCCATACTGGTTTACAAGCTCCATATATGCATGATAGTAACTATGATGCGTACACAGTCAATTTTAAACATGTCTATCATATAGTGATTCGACATACAATATAGCAGTTTGAGGAAAGACTGATATTCTCATTCAAAATAATCACTAATATATATATATATCCAATCATTTATAACTGTAACTTACTTTAATTATCATAAGAAAAGCCATATCAATGAAAGTGTATATCTATCTACACAGCTGCACACAAATATCAGCACGGTGCGAAATACGGTGTTTGTTGTTCATGTTGTTGTTAAGTTGCTCACACTACGGGTTGGTACACTGTTTGCTTTAATTTATACTCATTCCACTTAACGAAAGAAATTAATGATATTGTGACTCTCATGGATTTAATTACTCACTTGATTTCTAACTATATAGTGAGGCATAATAGATATTAGGAGTATTGTTTTCAGTTAGCAGGATTTTCACACTGGTAAAATGGCGTCAAATATATTGTGACGCATATGCGTACACATTCTTATTATAAGATGTAGCGCACCACCATCAGTGTGTGTGAGTGTGTTTGCACTCAGTCAAGCATTCAATGGGAAATTCTTCTTTATAATTTTTTTTTTGATGTTGTTTATCATAAGTTCATGAGAAATATTATTTTATCCTGACGTTCCGATAGGAGCATTGGAACATCTACATTCCACTCGCTACTTCTAACTCTACGACATTAAGAAAACAGAAAGATTGAGCGAAGAAATATTTACTTTTCGATTAGATCCTCATCTTTGGATCTACTCTAATATATATAGCATTTTAACTACAATATAACAGTTTGCCAATCAAGTGGCGATAAGTTTGTTAACAATAATTAAACAGTGTCAAAATGTCAATGGGTTAATAGTTAACGAAGAAAATCAATCCAGATTTAAAAGGTGGAAATGGATAGAATAAATTAATTTTACAAGAATAACACGTAAATTAAAGATAAAGTGGTCAAAATAAATAAAATAAAATAAATAATTTAGACAAATATAATTTTATAGGTTTAGGGGGAGGGGGTGACGCAGTCCTGTTTATCCATTCTTGTGACGATGGCCACGGTAGGGAAAGTGGCTGTACAAATTTTTTCTGTACACATAGGCTTGGCTTCTTCAGATGAATGCCAATCGCCTCAGCCGTCTGTAGAAGACGAACTCGCAAAGCAAAATTAAGATAAGTTGGAATGCGATAAATAATTTTAAATGCTGTATTAACATCAATCTTATGCTCAGTATCAACGAGGTGGGCTAAAATAGAGCTACGAATAGATCTTTTTTTGTCCCTTACTTAACCACGTTGGATGATGTTCGGAAATACGACGATGAACTTGCCTAATTGTACGCCCAATGTAGCTGGCTCCGCAGCTGCAGTCAAACTGGTAGATACACATAGAGGAGGCGAATTTAGGTAGTTTATCCTTATTTCTCGAACATAAAATAGATGTGGTTGTAAAGAGACAACGTACCTCTGCTGCATAATAAGTTCTTTTAACTGCATTCTTCAGGCGCTGTGTTATTAATTCGCTGATGTTGTCACCGAGGAACTGCAATTTTATGAACATTGGTTTTTTCGGGACTGTGGCCATACTGACTCTCCTTGGAGCCGAATTTATATTTTATATACTGATAAAATTCTGTTGAAAATGCTTTTCATGATGTGCGTGCGTTGAGTCTCTGAATCATTATACGGATCCCATATTTCTTCTTCTGAGTGCTGTAGACCTCTACGTTGATTTCAAAGCAATAAACACCTGTCTTTATTCCCCTGTTTTATTTTGTCCCGTTTTCTGACATCCTCATTCATCGTGCCGCCGCCGGCATCTTGAAGCGATGACTTCCTTTAGATTTCTACGACTGATGATGTTTTTTTGTTGGCTGTCGGTTATCGTCATCACTTTTGTGTTCTCTGCGTTCATCTGAGGTCTTGTTCCGTCTGATGCCTTCTCCTAAGTTGTTGATTTCCCCTTGTATATCTTCGAGTTTGTGTTTGGATGAGACATAAATCATCTGAGAAATATGATAATAACAAAACTGACGTCCATGTATCACCACTGTACTGATTCTCAATGGTTAGTGCTGCGCTGACTGTGAAAGTATTCGTTCGCTGATAGTGATTTTTTGTTAGTGGTGATGCATCTGGAGTTGTTGACTGTATTATGGCACAGTGGTTAGGACTCTCGCCGACCATGCATATGGTCCGAGGTTCAATCCCCTGCCGACCCATACATGATATTTATGGTCGGCCTGCGAAATTTGGGCTACCGATATCCATGCTGAAAATTCCATACTTGTACCAAAAATACAGAGTGGAATCAAGCTGTAATATATATATATATATCGTCGAATCCTCCGTGTTAGGGACCAACGTGTTAATCGAAACTGGGCATTTCGGTCCCACATATTCGACCAATGAGGATTACAAATCAACCTGAAAGAAAATAATAACTGATATTCCTTATACAAAAGACTTCTCTCTTAGTCTTGCGCTCTGATACTTGAAACGATGATTGCAGGCTTTGAGTCTCAATAGCAATGCTGTCACTTGCTCCGTAGGGGAGGGAGTAAATTGCTCTGATTTTTTTTGGATTGGGGAAGGAGGATTGTGAACTCTTGAGGAGAAGTTTTAGGTACATGCTACCGAAAAGTCATGAATAGGTAGAAATCAGCATGGTGTGTTCCAACATCAACCAAAATAAAGGAGTTCTGTCGTCAAAGTAGTAGAAATTTCATATGTCTGTTTTCGACATAGTACTTTGCACCGATGTGCAGCAGTTCAAGTCGCCACACTCCTTGTAGCACACAAAGCAAGAGAAGAAAGTAGAAGAAATGCATAATAGAGACAGTAAATACAAGTGTGAGACAAAGGAATAGTAATAACGAAGAACAAAACAGTTTCATTGGAAATCATAAGTCACAAGGAGTGAATGCATCTGCGCCATCACTGAGAACGATTTTGAGCCATGTCACCAATTGTTTCCAACCATAGATTTTTACCGTCCTGAGGAACCCAACCAGGAAGTCTACACCTTCCTACTTGCCTTAGACTAACTGTTGTAGATTTCATTGACTAGTGAAGCCATGTTTTAGTTTGACTTCCGCTAGCTCTTTTCCAGCCTGAAAGTCAGTGAATCTATCAGAGAACTCAACTTCACTCATATTGACAAATATAGTTTTAGGATGGGTGCGTACTGATGAAGAGTCCCAAACTAGGACGAAACAGCTGTCCAGTGCTCCCAGGTTTTCCAATGGTTCTCTAACTAATGTCAGCTCATGATGAAATCCTGAAACCAATCAAATCCCTACAAACCAACACTTGAAATATAGTTTTTGTTTTTTTACATGTTTTGAAAATTTGAAGGCTTTTACTTTTACTGAGTATTTTGCACCTGAAAAGCACATACTTCAGTTATTAAGCATTCGCAAGTTTAAATTGATTGCGTTAGAATCATACTATTCACCTTAGTCACAATGCAGTCATTCCATGCCACAGAAGCAAAGCGATTCACTAATTAGTTTTTACTGTTATTTTTTTGGAATCTTATTACTCATTTAATAGTTATTTTTCTGTTTTTTGATGCTTCATTTAATCTTTTTTGTTTGTTTTATATTCTTCAAAGTCTCATTGTATAACTTGAAATTTGTTTATTTCCAGCTTATTTTAACTTCTTTCCCCCTGTAGAAAGCGTTGAATATTATGCAAATTGATGAACATCTCCTCAGAAAGTGTGACTCTGCTGTTGTTGCCGGTGCTTTGAAACAATACCTTCTAAGTCTACCTGAACCTTTAATCACATATGAATTTGCTGACCAATGGGCTGCTGCGTCTAAAAAGTAAGTCTTGCAATGTGTGTGTCTGCGTGCGTGTGTGTGTATCCATATACAGAGATATAGCAGATACTATCGTAAATATGGACTCGTTTTACAGTTATGTATTTAGGATTAAACCGATCTGTTGAAGTGATAACAGATTAACCAGATATGCTCGGTCGTTGTTATATGTTCTTATATGCCGCTTGTTTACATTTGAAATGCGTCAGCGGCACAGTGGTTAGGACGCTCGCTGACCATGCACGTGGTCTGGGGCTCGATCCCCGGTCGGCGCACTCCTTTAACTCGCTAAGCCAGTAGTGAGACTGGTAAGAGGAACGGTTGGGCATGAGGCTAGCAACCCCATCCTGTGAAAATTCACACTGCCTCTAGCTTGAAACTCTATGTTCCACTGGGGATGTGAAGGAAAAAAATAAATGCCCTTCGATAATATACGGCGGTCTACTTGAATCACTAGGCTACTTGAATTTCTATCCAACATAATCGATGAAATTGTGTCTCTTTTCTTTTGTTTTAACCACTGAATTATGTCTGTAACGTGTTAGTTGGATTTCAATCTACTTCTGAGCATCTCTTATCGATGGAAGAAAAACGCCATATGAGATTATCTTATTCTTCAGGTCGAACAACAATGTGTCACATGATGCACTCTAGATTGCTATTTTGCGTGAACTCCCCGAATGAAGGGAAATATTATGCAATAAACTACACTGAGAATTCTGTTTATCGTGTAAAACACTTTATGCAGAATAAATCTGTGATTTTGATTGGACACTAGTCAATAAGTAGTGTAATCTGTCTAGTCCTTTTGTTCATTGCAGACTGAATTCTCTCAGTCGAGTTTGAAATACGGCCACGACAAGACGCATCACAGTAGTTATTTACTCGTGTCCAATCAAAGTATCCACTACAGTCATACAGGAGGTCAATCGCGAGCCTGGACAGCTCACTGGTAAAGTCTTTGACTGCAGCACTGGATGACGCGGGTTCGAATTTCAGAAGAGATTTGAGTTCTTTCAACGTTGTAGACACACCTTGCTAACTGGTGAATGCAAACTAGCACCAAGTCATCCTACCGATTGCCCCCAACCATCTAGTTTCAAATCTGTCATTTTCGATAGAGAAAGAAAGACCAGATTTGCAGTATAAGATGCTATTCTATTTTACAGGTTCTCATCAGCTGCAAACTACTTCAATGTTTGAAAGGTAATAAAGAAAACTTCGAAGTAGTTTGCAACTGATGAGAACCTGTGGAATAGAATGACGATATCATTTTATACTGCAAATCTGGTCTTTCTTTCTCTATCGAAATTTATCAAGGGAACCAAATGTATGAAATCTGTCATTATTAAAAGAAACATGTAGATGATAATCGTGCACCATTATGGAGGAATTTCGATGTTGGATGATGATCTTTTTTCAAATTCACTTCAAATCCTGCTTATAGTAGTTCTGTGACATTTGTATATAAAGGTTGAATATATTTCACGAGAGATGATTGAAAGCTTTTTCAACAGTGGTGAAATGGTATTACATATAACTGTAAACAGTTTGTTTATTATTTTTTTGTCGTTGTTGTTGTGGTGGTTTGTTTATTCCGTCACCCAACTGTTTATATTTACTTTTAGACAGAATCCTACTCCAGCCAATATCCAGTTGATTCACTCCTGTTTGGAGAAGATGCCTGCAGATTTTCGTTTGAACTTGGGCTATCTAATGTGCTTTCTCTCCAGATTATCGAATCAATCTAATGTGAACAAGATGACTTCAGATAATTTGTCTATTGTCATTGCTCCTAATATGTATCGATTGTCTTCAGGTGCCACTAACACTGGGAGCAGTGTGAATGGGAATTTAACACGATCAAATGAAGATGTGTAAGTGATCTTTTTTTCCTCGTTAATTGTTATCGCCTCTTTTTACATATGGAGTATGCAGCATAGTACTGTTAAGGTTAGCAGTGAATATCGATGCAAAGGGAAACTTACGGGATCCTTTGAAGTGAAGACGGGAGTAAAGCAAGGCTGCCTACTATCGCCAATGATTTTCCTGATTGCAGCAGATTGGATAATGAGACAGACAACGGGCAGCGAGGAAACAGGCATAAGATGAACTCACACAAAAAACTTGGAGGATCTGGACTTCGCCGATGATATATGTCTGATTTCTCACAAACTGGAAGATATGCAAGTGAAAAGCAATAAGCTGGCAGAAGAAGCATCAAACATAGGACTTCCTTCAGATGAACATAGAGAAAACAGAGGTGATGAAGATTCCTGGCCAACACCAACAGCAACAACAACAGACAACAATCAGCCAGCCTAAATGGGAGGAACCTGGAAGAAACAACCTCCTTTACCTGCTTACCTGAGAGGCATCGTTTCAACTACAGGCGGGCGGAACTGGCGAGGATATCAAAGCCAGAATCGGAAAAGCAAGACAAGCTTTCACTACTCTCAAGTCTGTGTGGAGGTCAACAGTACTCAGCATCAAAAATAACATCCGGATTTTCAACTCCAATGTGAAGTTAGTACTACTTACCATACGGATCAGAGACTTGTCCAGCGCCTCATAAAGAGCACCTCAAACAAACTTCAGACCTTCATTAACACTTGTCTTCGCTCAATACCACTCAAGATCAGATGGCCGGCCAGAAAAGATCAGCAACAAGGATCTCTGGCAATGAGCGAACCAACCAGAAACCGATTGTGAAGGAAATAGGCAGAAAGAAATGGAGATGGATTGGCCATACTCTGAGGAAACCATCAGGTGACATCACTAGACAAGCCATCGCTCGAGTGAAACCCGAAAGGGAAGCGGCGAGTTGGTCGTCAGTGCAAGGGTGACTTGGAGGAGGTCATGTGAAGAGGAGATGAAAGCATGTGGGCAGGCTTGGATCGGGGTGAAAAAGTTGGCAGAAAACAGAAGGCAATGGAGACGCACAGCTGAAGCCTTATGTTCCTCTAGGAATTAAAGGAAATAATAATAATAATATCGACTGTCAAATTTATAAAATTACTGATCACTTATCGCTAGATTGACAACTGTAAACTGAAAGTAAATTACTTAAAACACTGAACTGCATTTCGACTATCAGTTAGTTTCATGTGTACACAAATAATTCTTCATCTCCGCTACTAGTGTGAAATTTACCACATATTTTAATTCATAATTTGTATAAGCTTTAAATAATACTACTTGTGTACATACTACCTATAGTAGGGGTCACCGTCTCTAAAGGTAATTGACCAGTCACAGTGTTACAGTATCATTAACTCTTTACATGCCACCCCCCCCCCACACACACACAAAGCACAGATTGAAGCTGAGCGAACGTAATTGAATGCTTTTCTTACGATCAGTATGAATACAGTTGAGTCCAGAGTACAGGAAGCGATTATCCAGTCCCATTCAGGTGAAGAAAAATGACGACCGATTTGGTATTTCAAGAACTGTAGATTCTTATGCCTCAGAATCGCTTATCACTGTGAAATCAGTATGGAGGTCTACAACGTCCATCAGAAGAGGAGACACTTTAATGTCAAACCAGTGCTTTTGCATGGTTCAGAGATGATTTGGAGCACCGGGCATCACCAACAGACTTTTATCAACCTTGCCTATCTTCGCTGCTTCGAAACACACACAAGTGATGAATATTACTAAAAATGTCTTAAAACCAGACTATTATTTAATTGTATTTTTAAAATAGAGCTAAATTGATTCAATGATGACAACAGTTCACATACTTCACTAGTCTAAGTGATAATGAGTGAATATGCACATCCGCACATATAACAAACATATAGTGAATACACAAACTACAAATGGAAGAATGCATGTTGTGTACTGAAGATAAACAGTTTTGTAGGTCAGTCATGCGCAGCTGCTTATTGTAATCTAACTTTTGAGGTCAAAATGAGTGTGTTTGGCGACATATATATATATAAATATATAATACTCATTTGCAATGTAAATCTAACGTAAACCACTTCCGTTTCACTTATCTTACAAATACTTTCTGACTGGCTTTTATATAATACTAGTTCAGTTTTGTCTAACCTGTTGGTTTTCATACTGCCATTGAAAAAATGCATAATCTATTTTTTCTTTATGCATTCAAATGCATACTACGCTACAACGCAGGTCGCTTAAGTGAACTATACAATCGTTCTGTCTCTCTCTTTCTTCGTCTGTTAAAAAGAAAACCGTATTTAACATTTTCTGTAACCGAGTGTTTGAACCCCGGAGGGAAGGGCGTGAATTGTTTTGGTCTTGTTGTGGAAAGCGAAGGGGGGGGTTGTGGATTCTCGAGGAGAGGTGTAGTAGAAGTAGCGTGACGGTAAACTTGGTAAAGGAATGTTAATTTGGAATTCACTGTCTCCATGTAGTGAAATCATGTACACCTTATCAGCAAATATTCATTTGCACAGATCTTCCATGTTGTGCTACTTCTGCCCTTCTTTGTATTCTTTTCGTATCTCCCATGTTTTGCTGCACCGCTGAATCATTTGCTATCTTCGAGGTCGAATCTATCTCTCCATTATTAGACATTTTTATTCCAATGAACGTCTCTGCATGTATATATATATATTACTGATAAATTTCATCAGTAGCACAAGCTACAGTAGGAGTTTCCATTATTTTCTTGACCATTCTACATATTACATATTTCCTTTCGCTATTTTGAAGTAGAATAATTTCAAGAGGACTCTTGAAATGTATTGTACATATCGTCTGCTGATTATTTATCATCAGTTGACGAAAGCCTTATTAAGATAGTACAGTTTCATTGCTCTTAAAAGTCAATCTGAAAGAAGAATATTCTTTTCAGTAATTTCCCCTATTCAGGTTATTTACTACAATTATAAAATATAATATTTGTTGTCATTACAATAAGGGCCAGTTATCCAGCGGATAAATTTTTAACGTAGAATAACAGATTAGTTATGTCAGGTGAGTGGTTAGTACAAAGTGGTCTCTGTTAAACAGGAGATAGTAAGACTGCAATGAGAGGTTCATAATGAAATAACGAATATGTGAATTGAAACAGGTGGGGGCATATATTGAGAAAAGAGACAATGCCACCATTAATAAGTCCGGATAGTATAAATGAAAATTCGATAACCTCAACATATGCCCCCACCTGTTTCAATTCACATATTCGTTATTTCATTATGAACAACCTCTCATTGCAGTTTTACTATCTCCTGTTTAACAGAGACCACTTTGTACTAACCACTCACCTGACATAACTAATCTGTTATTCTACGTTAAAAATGTATCCGCTGGATAACTGGCCTTTATTGTAACGACCACAAATATTATATTTTATAATTGTAAGGACCTGAAGAGAAGAAATTATTGAAAAGAATATTCTTCTTTCAGATTGACTTGTAATTCATAATATGGGAATATTTCACACTATCAAATCTTATAACTCATTACTCTTAAATGAAGGAAACGTGGAAATATTTAGCAGGAAGACCAGATAAAAATGAATCACAGACAACCTTGAGTTAACTCTGGCTATTATATTATATTTATTTTATACAAATTTGATGCCATACTTTCCTATCAGGTATATTTCCATGAGAATTCTATCAGTCTCAGGTTTTGTATCAAGTTTCCAAAGTGTAGTGTTCATTACTCAATGTTCAAGATACTGGACATAAAAATCACTCGACGAATTCGTGCAACAAGCCCATTTTTGTAGGCATTATCTTGTACGAACTTGCTAGCTGCTCTCAGCAGTTGCATTTTACTCAATGGTAAACGAGTTGTATAACAAAGACAAGAAAGGCATAAGATCATGAGTAACGAATAATTTGAATAACAATGTTGTGAGTTCAGTTCAAATCATAGAAACAAGAGTCAAGCAAGCAAAGCTGCATACATAGATATAGAGGATGGAAGCCAAGGATCGCGTAATCAAGTAAAAGAGAGGGCAGCAATATACAGTTAGCAGGACAAGGGGAGAAGTAACCGCTTCTCTCTGAACGCATAAACCGGGTTTCAGGCGTTTAACAGCGATTGCTTCGGAAAACTTCAGGAAAATTGATAATTTCACTGGAGTTTGTAACGCATATCAACAAAATGCCTGGGGATGACACTATTGGGAGCGTTTGTTCCTGTAGGACGTCGGCTTTTTGGTACTTGTTCAGAAAATCAAAGATGTACCTTTTTTTCTGTCCTCCCAAAATAACTGTGACTACAGATGCATGTAAATTTGTATACACTGATCTCACATAAGAAGGGTATCTGTTGACCTTTGATTGCATCAAAGAACATCTCAGAGAACCAAATGAAACGGAGATGCACAGTGTAAGCGCCATGTTCTACTTCAAACTCAAGGAAGTGAATAGTAGTAGACATGTAAGAGAAAAACCAATAGTGGACAACATAATATTTATGGCTTCACTTCCCTTGTTTCAAGCTCAGTCTGCCTCAGATAATTCTAAAAACAAATTTTCTCTTACCTCTTTCCCGTCATTGAAATAAAGAAATGCTACTTGGCAACTGCTTTGATGATAAAAAAAAAACTTCACAGTAGCACTCATTAACGTAACAGTTGGGCAGCCGTGCTCTTGATTACAGAATTGAAATTGAAACCTCATCATAAAGGAGATTTCATGAGTCATTCTGTAGAACCCCGGTTTGTGAACGTATATGACTCAGTCTTTCTTTCCCAACTCTAATCTTCTCCATCAGAAGCTCCTGACTCACTTCTAATGAAAGTGTTTATTATCCTACGATTAATTTGTATCGCAGCAGGTGTTTTTAACCGAAGTTATATCCTAAGCCAATGTTATACGTGTTTAGTTCCTGGTATTGATGCCTGAGTCTCTGATGATAGATCAATGTATCCATTATAGTCCTACAAGAAGTAATTGGTGAGACTGAATAGCTCAATGATGATGCCTGTGGGGTTTCAGCTCTAGCCGATGTCGGGTTCGCATCTCATAGAGTTATAAGTTCCTTCTAGGCTGCAGATACGTTTTCCTGACAAGTGCTAACAAACAAAAAATACAGGTCTAGAGTTTTTCACTGATTACGGAATATACACATTGTTTCATAGGAGTAAATAAGAAGACAGTTGCAGCGAAGAAAATTTCGGGTATGAAAATATGGTAGTGTAAAAAGGGATTAAGAAAAACTTGAAATAACATGAATAAACAGGAAGTTTAGATAAGAAAGGAGATGGGATAGTGATTACTAAAAATTACCTGTTTATGATGGCCATGGCAAGGACAGGGGTTGGACGTATTTCTTTTGTATACAAAGCGTGGGTTTGAGCTTTTGAATAGCTAGCGCCTCGGCTATGCCCAGATGTCTTGATTTTACTCCCTTTGATAGGTTTGATCGAATCTTGTAAATGATTTTGAAGGATTTTTCGAGTGGCGCTGAATGTCCTGAATTCACCAGATGTTCTGTCACCGAACTATTTACCCGTACCCAACGTACTCAGCTCCACAAGAGCAAGTAAACTGGTATATGCACGTTGAGGTGGCCCAATGCGACAGCTTGTCTTTCGCGTTCTGGCTGAACAGTTTCTTTCAGGAAAACGTCAGTCGTAGGCTAGCGGCGAAGTGTGTTTTCCTCAGCGATTTCGAGAGGCGTCTGCGAAGGATTTCTGCTTCAATATCACCTTTGAATTCTAGATTAAGTAGAAGCATTTTCTTTGGGACGGATTGGACTTGTTCAGAAGTTTTCTTAGGTTTGAGATTCTTTTCTATGAACCTGGGCGGGAAACCGTTTTCCATCAGGGTTTTTCGAAGATTACACAGTTCTTCTTCAACCACTTCCTCGCTGCATATCTTCCGAATCCTCAGGGAAAGAGCGTATATCAGGTTCCTCTTTCTGCTCAGGGGCACGAAGCTTTGAAAGTTGATGAATTGTCCCTTCCATGTAGGCTTTTTGTATATGGACCTTTTCAGGGAGTTGTCGGCCTTTCTTGTCAGATGGACGTCGAGGAAGTGGAACATTCCGTCGGATTCAGTCTCAAGTGTGAAGTCGATGTTTGGGTGGTCATTATTGAAGATTTGAAGTAGGTTTTTTAAATCACAGTTCTCATCACAAATAATGAAAGTATCATCGATGTATCTCTTGTAGAGATGGAGGTCGTTGATAGTTGGTGATAAGGCGTTGTTCTCTAAGCTAGCCATAAAGCAGTCGGCTAGAAGGGGTCCTAAGGGAGAACCCATTGCTACTCCATCTACTTGCCTGTATATTTCTTTGTTGGAACTAAAGTATACGTTGAAGGTGCATCGAAGTAACAGTTCTTTCAGGTAATGGATTGGTATACCGACATTGATGTTACTGGATTCAATGTAGTCACAAAGGAAACATACGGTTTCTGTCAGTGGAACGTTGTTGAAGAGAGACACGACATCCAGGGAGACCATTTTCTTTTCTGCCACATTGACATTCTTAATTGAATCAACAAAGTCGAATGTGTCGCGGAGGTTATGTCTTGACAGCTTCTCTTTCACCGGCCCGAGAATCTCCACCAGCCCTTTCGCGATTGTATGATATGGGGAATCTATCATATCTAGTATTGGGCGGAGTGGGATGTCTTGTTTTTGCACCTTTGGTAAGCCGTACATACGTGGCGTTGTAGAACCAGATGGGCGCAGTTGTTCGTTTTTCTTAATCCCTGTTTACACTACCATATTTTCATACCCGAACGTCGTGTTTATTTTGTCATTTTACTATTTCTACATATTTAATCCCTGATTGCATAAACAATTATTCATCACATTAGTTTTTCATCCAAACATCCTGTCTATTTTGTTATTTCTACATTTCTAACCCCTAATTGCACAATGTCAGTCTTCTTAGTTATTATAATGCTACTTTGTTTGTTTTACCCATCCCCCTGTTTATAATGGCATTCTAATTCCCAATTTTAATTTTTATTAATTTGACCCTTAACCGGAAATCATTCTGGAACTTTCCCATCCATTTGAGATATAAATACACGAATGTACAGCCTAGATGACGACTTCGTCGAAAAGAAAATTTTCTTCACTGCAACTGTCTTCTTATTTTCACTGATTATTTCCAACCACCTAATTGTATCATTATTGTAAATATTCCGCTGTTAAATTACTTTCTTCTTCTTCTTCTAATTCTCGGCATTATATTTGGCTTTGTAGCAAGCGCTAGACTGCACCCTTTATATTCAAAGTCATTTTTATTTTGTATATGCTGTTTTCTAGGGCTATTACCTTTTCATTTTAGGGGGAAGTCATTGGATTTCCTACAGAACAATCGTCCAGCAATTCATTTAGTCGATATTCTCATTCAGAATGCTGAACAGTTGTTTGGACAAGAACAAGGTATGTTCACTATGACTCATGTTGTTTAAGGCATATCTTTTCTGTTTTTTAATAGTATAATTCAGAGTAAATAGTTTGGATGAACTAGCTGGGAACCTCTAATATCCTGCTTACTACCAGAATAGGATCCACTGTTATTCGTAGCGTTGTCAAATAACTGTTGGATGAGGTTGATAACAGATTTGGTGTACTACACTCCATAGTAGTTTCCAAATCACTTCTCGGTCAACACTGTCGAAGGTCTTTTCGAATTCAGTGAAGTTAAGGTACAGTTTTGACTGCCATTCTATGCTCGCCTAGCCTACCAGCTTGCTGGTTTTCTAGCCGCTCCTAAACCCGGATAAAAAGAAAGGGTTGGGCGTGGGGCTATTGACCCTACCCCACAAAAGCAATCATACTGCTACAGAAACTTCAACGTACTTTAAAATTAACAATTCCAGCCTATTTGAAAATTTAAAACAAGTTTTTATAAACTTTTGGCTGTATAAATCACAGCTTCTTCAGTTTATTTCTCAATGCATAGCTCTCTGTAATTAAGAGAAATTTATATCGACGTCTACATAGACGAATTAAAGGTAGTTTTATCCTTCTAATGTTAATCTTTCATCACAAATGCTTATAAGTTTTCAAGTAAACTCTTGCTCACGTGGCTGTACAGATTGATGCGTTGTTCAAACGCTAAGAAAATCTTTGTAGCGAACCATCGCAAAGAAAGATTGAAATTACCCTTCCTGATTTCCTCTAATTCGGTGAAGATGTTAATTAGCATGACCCGAACAAACAACCATTTGTGTATATCCCTTTTTTTGTTGAATAAAGCCAGGTGCCTACGCTTGTAAAAATTTCATGAAATTGATGACAGTATAGTCACTGAATTATGGAATTGCCACAGATGTCGATAATTAAGCTGGAATTAAGCTCCGTGAGGCAGTTACTTGTTTTACGCATAAATTGGTTTAAACTAAATATAGTTGTTATCACAACGAGATTTCAGTAATACACAACCATGGTACATTACAGACAGCTTATGAATTGTAAATACGGGGGAGGGGGGTGAAGATTGCAATGTCTTGACAAGGCTTGCTTAATATGAAAGACACTCACTAAAATTAAATGTTAGTAAAAGGGCATAAAAACAAGCGCCTAAAACAAATTATATAGTAGGCAAAAGAGAGGTCACTGTTCCGAGGAAGACACTACCTGAGAATGGCTATCCACCACTCTTTCTGTGTCAACACATAAAACCGAAAATAAACAAAAAAAAACCTATCTCTGTGTGGAGAAGATGCTATACATGACTGTGGCATTCAGAGACAACCTTCCGGCCAACATCCTAGAAAAGAGAATATCTAACGCCCTGAAAAGAATTTTCCCTGATTCTACAGTGCGAATAGTACTCTCATGATCCCCATTGTTCTTTAACAACTCCAAAGATAAACTATCGCATCTGACCACTTCTATGTGTATCTAACAATTAACTTGCTCATATGAAGTGGGATACATAGGTTGTTCGATATGTGTCTTATCCAAAAGAGTCAAAGAGTATTATCTGGCTTGGCTATGAAAAGTTAACAGTAGATCCATGAGGAGGGCTATAATTGAATACATATTCAACACTGATCGCCCAGTGTGTGAGGAGAATTCATTCAAAGTTATCTATGAAGTTAAAAGAAGCTTCCCATAGACGTTGGTGAGCTTCCGCATACTGTGCTTATTCGAGGAGGCTGTATCGATTCGTCTGTCAAACCCTGATTAATGTACACCGAAGAGACTTCTCCACTACCTTCTTCTACTTTGAGTATAATTTCAAGTTCCACTACTTTGTTAATAATGCTTTGAATTTTCGTATGACGTTCTAGTGACGTCTTTTTCTTAACTAACCCTCTATTTACTCTTTTTACCTGTTACATAATTTATTTTGAACACTTGTCTCCACACTCTTTCACTAACACCCTATCTCTCTGGATGTCTTTCATGTTACGTAACCCTAGTCAAGACTTTCTAAGCTTCACCTCCTCTGGTTACCATTCGATTATTCATCATATTTGAGATATTTTGATGACGTAAACAATAACCCTTACTAATTTTTATTTTTGTTTGACGAATTAAGAACTGTTTCATATTCTGCAGTCAGAAGTGAAGATTTCGTGTAAAAGCCAAACCTTGGACTATTTGTGGAGTTAGCCGAGTCGATTGATGCGACAATCGGTCACTGTTATCAAATGTACTGTACCGTATACTTGCTAAACTCTAACCCTGTGATTGAGTTTTAATGTTTGTGTCAAAACTGAAGAATCCTGAAGGAAATGAAAATCTCTCTTCAGGTGTTTATGTGCTTTGCTTGGAAAACTGCTTTATTTCCTTCACTTTCCCAGTGGAACATAGGGCTTCAAGCTAGAGGCTTGAAGTTTCTGTAGTAGTGTTTATTTTTACAGGATGGGGTTGCTAGCCTCATGCCCAACGTTTCCTCTTTACCAGCTGTATTTCTGACTTAGTGAGGTAAAGGAGTGCGCCAGCCGGGAATAGAACCCCGGACCATGTGCATGGTCGTTGAGCGTACTAACAGCTATGCCACCGACTCAAAACTGCGCACACACTGTGTGAATTGTATATGGTCATCAAACAGAATAAATGTGTTGTATCAGTCGTAGTACGTATGACAATTGTTTATTCAATTCTCAAAATGTTAATTGTTTGTAATTCACTACTGCATTTCCCTTTACATCCCTTATTGCGTTTCCCCTACACTTTGATATAGCTTATGCTGAGAAACTTTTCATTGCATTCTCTCTTTAAAACAAACTCTCCTAAATCTTTTTCCTATCGATTGGAATAAGGGAAAATAAGTTTTTTTTCAAATTTACGATTATTGATACTTTTTATTCACATTTCTTGTGTGTATAATTTTTTTTCAATAAAGAAAAAATCCCCATTTAGACATTTAGAAAACAGAAAGATTGAGCGAAGAAATATTTACTTTTCAATTAGATCCTCATCTTTGGCTCTACTCTAATATATATAGCATTTTAATTACAATACAACAGTTTGCCAATCAAGTGGCGATAAGTTTGTTAACAATAATTAAACAGTGTCAAAATGTCAATGGGTTAATAGTTAACGAAGAAAATCAATACAGATTTAAAAGGTGGAAATGGATAGAATAAATTAATTTTACAAGAATAACACGTAAATTAAAGATAAAGTGGTCAAAATAAATAAAATAAATAATTTAGACAAATATAATTTTATAGGTTTAGGGGGAGGGGGGTGACGCAGTCCTGTTTATCCATTCTTGTGACGATGGCCACGGTAGGGAAAGTGGCTGTACAAATTTTTTCTGTACACATAGGCTTGGCTTCTTCAGATGAATGCCAATCGCCTCAGCCGTCTGTAGAAGACGAACTCGCAAAGCAAAATTAAGATAAGTTGGAATGCGATAAATAATTTTAAATGCTGTATTAACATCAATCTTATGCTCAGTATCAACGAGGTGGGCTAAAATAGAGCTACGAATAGATCTTTTTTGTCCCTTACTTAACCACGTTGGATGATGTTCGGAAATACGACGATGAACTTGCCTAATTGTACGCCCAATGTAGCTGGCTCCGCAGCTGCAGTCAAACTGGTAGATACACATAGAGGAGGCGAATTTAGGTAGTTTATCCTTATTTCTCGAACATAAAATAGGTGTGGTTGTAAAGAGACAACGTACCTCTGCTGCATAATAAGTTCTTTTAACTGCATTCTTCAGGCGCTGTGTTATTAATTCGCTGATGTTGTCACCGAGGAACTGCAATTTTATGAACATTGGTTTTTTCGGGACTGTGGCCATACTGACTCTCCTTGGAGCTGAATTTATATTTTTCTCAATGAATTTATCTGGATAGCCATTTTTTCTAAGTAATTCTCTAATAATCTTAAGCTCCTCATTGAGGCAGTCGTCTGAACAGATTAACCTAGCTCTATGAGCCAGACACTTCACGAGGTTACGTTTATATTTCAAAGGTACAAAACTCAAAAAATGAGTGTACTGACCTGTTGTTGTAGGCTTCCTATACACACTTCTTCTTAGTGTGCCATCTTCTCTCCTTACCATGAAGACGTCTAGGAATGAGATACTGTCATTACTTTCTTTCTCTATGGTAAAGTTTATTGCTGAATGTGCATCATTAAACTTGTCAAGGATGTTCATTGCATCATTCTCATCTTTCATAACCACAAATGTATCATCCATATATCGACAGTAGAAATCCATGTCATTAATTACTCCTTTCAGTGGTCCATTCTCTAATTTAGCGAGGAAAAAATCAGCTAGGATTGGACCTAATGGGGAACCCATAGCCACACCATCAATTTGTCTGTAATATTCCTTATTGAATAAGAAATGAACATTCATTGTACATCTTAAAATAAGTTCCTTCAAGGTGGTTACAGAAATCCCGATATCTATGTTTCGTGTAGTAATCTCTTCACATATAAAATCCACTGTTTCTGTTAACGGTACATTGGTGAACAAGTGTAACAACAGAAGACAAGGGCCAGGCAACAGATCGTTTTATTATGAAAATCAACACGTATTTATACATATTTCACATACATTATTATAGCTTATGCAAGTAGACAAGCGCAGTTATCTGATTGGTTGTTTATCAGAAGTTAGGCAGACAAACGCAGGCTTCTGATTGGTTGTTTCGGGATTCCTCGACAAATAGAGTTCTCTATCTGCGAATCATATTTTGCCACGTTAACTTTGCTGTGATTGGTTGTTGAATCAGCCTTGCTCATATTTTCTCACGGCCTGCTCTCACCACACAAGGAGGATACATCAAAAGATATAAACTTGTCCCTCACATTAAGATCTCTTATTTTTTCAACAAATTCAAAACTGCCGTTTACGCTATGTTTTACCACTTCATTATGCAGAGGCTTTAGGAGCTTCACTAGCCATTTCGCTATTGCGTGATATGGGGAATTACACATGTCCAACACTGGTCGAAGTGGCAAACCGATTTTATGCACTTTTGGTAGTCCATATAATCTTGGCATAACCGTGCCAGTAGGCTTTAACGATTCATATAAACCGTCTATTATGCTGCTTTGTTGTTTAAGTCTTTTAATGACTCAATTAGTTGTTTCTCAACTTTTTCTGTTGGATCAACGCAAGATGTAATTTTTTGAAACTTTCGATGATCACTGAGTATTCCATTCATCTTATCTATGTATTCAGTTTTATTCATTATGACTACTCCAGAGCCTTTATCAGGTTTCGAAATTATTATATCTTCATTATTTCTCAGCTTCTCTAGGGCTTCCCTGTGTTTCTTGGTCAATAAGCTATTTAGTTTTCGTTTACTATTTATATATTTATAACAACAGTCAACTAGAGTTGATTTAAGACTTTCAGCTGACGAGGGTGTCAAGCCTTTTGATTATTGTTAACAAACTTATCGCCACTTGATTGGCAAACTGTTGTATTGTAATTAAAATGCTATATATATTAGAACAGAGCCAAAGATGAGGTTCTAATTGAAAAGTAAATATTTCTTCGCTCAATTTTTCTGTTTTCTAATTTTTTTCAGCTTGTTTTCGTCTGACTCATGTTCCATCTCATTTGGTACCGAAAATGTATTTGAGTCGTGCATCTTTGCCTTCAACAAAACTAACCACTTCTATCACTGCTTCTCATGGACTGGAAAATACTAATTCATTCAATGAACAATCGTCTATAAATTCTAGCAACAATAGTAGTGTTCAAAAGAGACCAGCTGTACCTGATCGTGGTGATGTTACCCTACCGAATAGTCATTTGACTACTTCGTCCATGCCTTCAAGGTAGGTGGTGAAATTTAGAACTGAAATATTATCCCATCAATGGTGATAATAATAATATATTAATATTTTCAAATATTGATTTGTAGAGATTTGATTGACTGGTTACAAGATTTCATCACAAGCGGATATCAGTTAAAGAACCTGGAAAACCTGGGAGTGCTGGACAGCTGTTTCGCCAGCCTGGTTTGGCACTCTTCGTCAGTACGCACCCACCACATGGGTTCGAACCCAGGACCTTCTGGCTACAAGGCGAGCTCGTAGAACATTAAGTTACTAGGTCCCAATCCAATAGCCACTGCATGAATTCCAACTTCTGTTAATTCACAACTTAGCGCGACCGCTAGTCAATGTCTTCGGCAGATATTTCTCCTCACCTTCGACCTGTTGCACCCCGCTGATTCGAACCCCGCCGGGGCGGGTGCGTACTGATGACGAGTCCCAAACTCCCAGCTAGTTTACCAATGGTTTTCTAACTGATATCAGCTCACGATGTAATCCTGTAACCAAATAATATTAATAATTTGCATGGTAATGCAGCCTGCTTTTTTTTAACTTCGAATTGATGTATGCGCTTAGTAGGGCAATAAAAGCTTCGCAAATAAACCATCGAGCTCAGAAAACACAACTACACCAAAATAAGTATACACATGAGAGAGAGAGAGAGAGAGAGAGTAGGACTTCAGGTAGACGTAAACAAGATAGAGGCGATGAAGATACCAACAACAAACACCAAACTCCGTCAACGGGAGAGATTTAAGGGAAGTCAACTTAGCAACACCGTTTTAAGTGCAGGCGAATAGTAGAGATGTCAAGATCAAACAGGATGGCAAAAACACAACGTGTTGATTAATCTGAAGTCACTGCATTCAGTATATGGAACAAGATCTGGATCTTCAACACTATGGTTCCCTATAGTTTAAGAACTTCTCACATCCCACAAAAAGCATTTCAGACAGGCTCATTCAAACTGTCTTCGTTGACTCGATACTGAAGATCAGATGACCAGATGGGATAAGGAGAAGAAAACTCTGACAACAAACCAACCAAGAACTTGTCACTTAAGAAATATACAGATGAAAATGGGGACAAATGGACAAATTATGAGGATGGTATCAACCACCAGGCCCTCGACTAGGCCCTAATGGGAATTGGCACTTTGAGTGCCCGGAGGTGACATATAGATGATCATGTGCGAACAAAATGAAAACTGCTGAAGCCATTTGTTGTTGCATTGCAAATCCATGTGAATCCATGTTATATAAAGTTTACATTTTATTCAGTTGTATAATGAGTAAATGTTACACTCCCCTCTGTACTGAGCACTAAATAGGGGTTTCATTATACTTTCTTTGCATCCATTTGTATTTTTCATATATTTATTTGTTCCATTTGTTTGTTGTACTTATTTTAGAATGTCACTTCCCGGAAGCACTCCTGTACTCCAAAGGAAAAAGAATGCTGCCCCTAAACCACCAGTTCCTACATATCCAGTTAATTGTATATTCATTCATGTGAGCGACAATGTACCAAAAGTGAATCAGGTAGACTCACAAAAGTCTGACAATTCTGTTGTACTTGAATCAGAGATTACCAACTCTACAAATCCCTTTCCGGAAGCACCTACCCATCGAGAAAATCCTCCACAGCCTAAGGACAATGCAAGTAACTCAACAGGGATACCTTCCACAGAAATAAAAACCACCGATAGTAATTGTCATAATTCATCCCTACAGCCAACGACAACACCAGCATCAGTTGCTAATGAATGCAAAATCAGTAAAGAACCACCGAAAAGACCTCCACCCCCTGATGTTAATTCAAAGCAGAACAATGCTGGTCCAGACTCAGAGACAGAAAACATCACTGTTATGTAGAAATACGTACTTTTAGAAAGCATCAGTTTCTATTTCTATGCCTTTTTGGTCCAGCTTACATAACCATAGTTCCAGTTAACTAAAAGTAAATAAATAAATATTAGGAATTGCTGAAATTACTGCTGCATGTGTGCGATAATTGTATTCGCTCATAAGATTTAATTGTTACTACTATTTTGGTCATAAATGCTAGTTGAAGTATATTAACTCGTTTTCGCCTTTTTATGTACGATATCCTTTCTTCATTGATTATATCACCATTTTTGATACAAGGTTATTTAATATTCATAATTTTTGAACGGAATCTCACCTTTCTTATCGTGTTTATAATCACCAACTTCTTATTTAACATGCTAACCTGTTATCTGTATTTGTTTATTCGAATTCATCTGCTCACGTGTACCTCTGCGTGGGTCACTGATGCCTTATTTCTGCAGTGCCTGTGACATATATATATATATATATATATATATATTTCAGCTGATTAGCTATCTGTCCTTTTATTTATCGTGCTTATACATCGATTCGATCCGTCACAAGACATCTTGAACCGGCTGTTCCCATTATTCTTTCTACTTCGTGACTTATTTTCTACACAACTGCACCAAAGATTTCAACAATATCATAGTGAATTTACACTTTGAGCCGTTTATTTTTGTACCTTTGTTTACAAAAACAACGATGAACACTATATCTCCATTGTTTTCGTGATACATTCCAGCGATGTCCCCTCTGCATGAGTTTCTTACAATCTTACCAGTATTTTGTTTGACCTTGTAAAAAGGTGTTGCTTTGTCATCTGTTGTTCTTTATGCATATCAGTATACCAGTGTTTCTATTCAACTGATATTATTTTTATTATTATTATTTATAAGTAGTTTGAACTAGTGTATTTTGCCAACGCATTTTTTTATTTTGCGTTTATCAACGTTTAGTTTGTGCCTACTGTGAGAATTAAAGCTTGATTGCTTTTTTTATACACTGCCTATTTGCAGGCCGATAGGCAGACAATATGGCGTACAAGGTCAGCATTGATTATACACACACTATGAACAGTATGAATCTCTTCCTCCTATTCTGGATGACAATTTTATATGCTTTCAGTGTTTTTTTCTGCAGCTTTTTTTTCTATATTCTGTTTAAAAAAGTTTTTTCCCTGCTAAATCGTTGCCTTTTGTTGCTTTTTTATTGATGAAAACAGAATACGGCTGAAATACTGGCTAGATAATATTATCCACCCAATCGATAGTTGCTGTCTTGACGCGTTAATCAGGCTAGCATATCTCAGTAACCCAACGAGTGACGCTGGTTGAAATGAATGTTCCTACCGGTTCTGTCATGTCAGAAACGTCGTTTGCGTAGCAGTTAAACTGAAAACAGATACATTGTAGTGCAAGTCGTTTACATTACGTCAGATGTCTGAGGACGAAATGGTACTGCTGGCGAAAAGGAATGTAACAGCAGCAAGGTGTTTCCCTGAGACGATCAATAGGCTAGGTATGCTGCGTCTGCACTATTGGGAGAGATGTTAGGAGAGTTCGACACTGGGTATTGCACATCTCTATTTGCTTTGTGGCGGTTCGTAATCGGCGGTAAGACTTTAATATGGATACAACTGCTGAAATCACTTTAAACAGCCCGTGTGTGACTGATCGCAAGGAAAGTTGTCCCCTGGGATCTGCGGCTACTTGACACTAATTTTCCTTCTGTTTCAGGTATTTCAATATGAAATCAACTTCTATGGTGTGTTCAATTGAGAAGTCATAACTGCACATAAAGCTCTCCTGTGCTCTCTCTCTCTCCTGACTTTAATCTAAAACTTCTCTTTTCTGAGGCAACCAGCCATTCAATGAGAATATGGATTCATTTTTATTGACATCATTATCTCTTTGGATTTCGAGGGGAACATAGAGCTTCAACTGTTCATATCTGTTTCTCTCTGTTCTCTGCAGTTGTTTTTTTTATCCGGCTCTATGTTCTCCCATAAGCTTTGATTTCCTACTGACACGATCTCCTCCATGTCGTCCTCGAACGCCTAGCTCGTTGTCTCCTATTGGCGTGCTAAATCACTCAGTGATCTCTAAAGCGTACGTTCAATTCATTTCCATTCCCTTCTGCGTAATTCATAGTCAGCGATAAGTCCTTATTTGGTTTGTTGCCAGTGTTTCGTGTTGCTTATGCTTTCTGGCCATGTGATCTTCAGTATCGAGCTAAGGTAGCTGTTGGTAGAAGTCTTCAGACTGTTGGCCATGCTTTTCATGAAGCACGCGCTAAGTATCTGAGCCATAAGGAGTAAATGACTTGACATTAGTGTTCAACATCCTAATCTTATTCCTAATGCAGTAGATTTTCACAATGATTTCAGAGTAGCAAAAGTGTGTCTTTCCTTTTCGCATTCCTGGTTTTGACATCATCATACATGACGCCGTCTTCAGTTGAAATGATTTTGCCCGGTTCAGGTAAGCGGAAGAGGTAACTCGCTTCAGATTTATCCAACTGATTACGATTGTCGATGTTGGTCACTAGTTCACTAGCCTGTTAAAAGAAAGAAAAAAAGTTGGGCGTGGGGTAGCGACTCAATCCTGAAAAATCCATCCAATCCCTATAGAAACTTCAAATCATATAGGAACGTAAAAGTGTGGATTCGCATAATACTGTAAAGATCTAGTTAAGTAAATGGAAAGCTAGATCATTATGTTATAATATGGCTTGATAATTAGGTCACTCAATAGGTATAAAATAAATTTCGAGTAAATACTGTAGCTATCAGGTTATCGTGATTTTTATAAACACAGACTTTTTCTCTTATAACGATAACAAATTCATTTGGTATGAAAGTCTAATGTGAACTTTTAACAGAAAATATGAATGTACTTTTTAGCCGAAATCATCATTATTATTATTATTATTGTATATTATGCATCAGTTTGTTGTGCTAAATTTGTGCATAAATTATTTGGCGTTGGAATGTTTGATTGAACATAAAAGGAAATATTAGTCCTTCTAAATAAAAGCCTAAATGGGATTGGGGATTTGATTACATGAAAAATAGCTTGTTTTTTAATAGTATCAACAATGAAGAAGAAGTAGGAAGGCAAATTTAATTCAGTGAAAAGTAAATTATTCTTTCAACTCTGTAAAATAACCATGATAGCTCAACTTCAACATGTATTTGAACAAAAAGTCGATACGAAAATGAGGGTAAACAACGACCCACTCGAGTTGCACTTGAGAGCATGGCGGACAATGTCACTCGACGGTCTCCTCAGAGTGTACTCTATCCATCTCGATTTTCTCCCAGTTATTTGTTGGACGATAGGTTTTTTAGTCTCTTCCCATAGTTTCTTGTTGCTAATTGTTTCTGGCTGGCCATTCGATCTTCAATATGAAAAGAAGGCAGCTGTTGCTAAAAGTCTACATTTGGCTCTTAGAAACGCTTTTCGTGATGGTCACTACACGTTTATGACCCGTATAGAAGTATTGACTGACATCTGTGTTGAAAATTCGAATCTCGTTTTTTATGCTGAAACAGAGTGCAGAAGATTTACGAACAGGTTTCAAGTTGATGAAGATGTATCTTGCCTTTCCGATTCTAGCTGACTTTGACATCTTTATCCATTCCGACTGCCTGTGGTTGAAACTGTGTTTCCTAGATAAGTAAAGTAGTCAACATCTTTCAGACTTCCCTTGTTGATAGGAATTGGTGCTGTTGGTTATCTTCATCACCTGGAGTCCTGTCTTTTCTGCGAGACTCTTCAGTCAGTTTGTTGGTTTTGGTCTGCAATTCCCTGAGTTTGTGTGACATCAGATATAAGTTATACACGACATGCAGATCTAGAATCTTCTTATCGGTGATCCGGTGTATTCCTGTCTCCTTGCCCCCCCCCTCATAGTCTGACAAATGCTCCAGTCCATCACAATCGGGAATATCATTATGGGTGGTAATACGCAGCCTTGTCTTTCTCCTGTCTTCAGTTCAAAGGCTTCAATGAGTTTTTCGTTGTGGATCACCTGACTCGTGTCATTGGCGAGTAGCTGTTGGATGAGGTTAGTGAAGATCTAGTGGACTGTACTACGTAGTGTTGAAGCAGTCTCCAAATTACTTCTCGATCAACTATACCGAAGGCATTTTCGAAGTCGATGAAGTTAAGGTAGAGGTCCGACTGCCTTTCTATGCTTTGTTGGATGACGCTGCGTAGAGTTGCAATTTGATCAGCACATGATTTGCCTTTGTTCCGGTTGGGCTGGCAGAGTTTTGCAACCAGTGCACCTTTTATTCTCTCCAGAATGATACGACTTAGTATTTTACTTGGTGCGGTCAAGAGCATTATTCCACACCAGTCCTTGTAAAGTGAGGCGTAACTCTTCCTTCTTCGGTAGTTTGACCAGGTAGCCTTTCTTACATTCAGAAAGCACCTTTCCTTCCTTCCAAACATTTTGCAATATTGGTGTAAGCTTATCTGACTGTCTCTGGGTCGGTTTTCAGTATTTCCACAGGAATCCCTTCGGGTCCTGTTGCTTTCCCGGACTTCAGTAGCTTGATTGCATTCAGCTTTTGCTGGAGGTAGGTATTTATTTTGTGAACTAAATTTAGACATCTACAGCACCCAGAACTGGGAACAAAATCTATATTTTCAACAATTTTGTCTTATCACTTCTTCTGTATGGTCCTGAGAATTCAGCGTCATCAATGGCTTTCACAACGGACTTGCATCTCTGTCTCGATACGGAAGATCAGATGGCTGGCCGAGGAGATAAGCAAGCAACATGAATCCTTGAAGACAGGGAAACATCCAATAACCTATTTCGCAAATAGAAGACATGCAGAAGGAAATGGAGATGGATTGGATGTACAATGAGAAGGCCGTTGAGTAACATCCAACTCGAGACGGTCGATTAGAATGTGAATGCTAAGTGATGAGTTGGGCGGCCAACAAGATGTTTTGGAGATCATTTGGTTTGAAAATAAAAGCTTGGAGGCAGTCCTGATTCATGTTGAA